CTTGGAGAGGGACATCATGCTTGGGAGGGTGGAGGGACAGCACAGGAGGGGAAGACCCTCTATGAGATGGATTGATTCGGTGACTGGGGTAATCGAGATGGGTGTGTTAGAGGCAGTGCGGTTGGTGCAGGATAGAGCAGGGTTTAGAGCTGTTGTGCATAGGGTCGCTATGAGTCGCAAACGACTCGACAGCACATAACAACAAACAACAACAACCCTATAGAATGAGGAGGGAGAGAGAGAGGGAGGGAGGGGGAGAGGTGGAGGGAGAGGGAGAGGGAGAAGGAGAAGGAGAGGAAAAGAAAGAGAAAGAGGGAGAGGAAGATGGACAGGGAGAGGGAGAGGGAGAGGGAAAGAAAGAGGGAGAGGGAGAGAAAGTCTGAGCAAGGGCTCTGAGCTGTAAAATATGCCTTCTTGGGTGGGTTATTTCTACTACTTTCTACTGTTTCTACTACATTTCTCAAGGGAGCTCTGGTAGTTTAGTGGTAAGGAGTGGTAGTGTCAATCTGAAGGTAGTATGGTTCAAATCCACCAACTGCTTAATGGAAAAAAGGTGAACAATTTCCTCTTATGCAATTTACAACCTCTCAAAACTTCTGGAGGATCAGCTATGAGTTGATTCCAACTGTGCCTAACAACAACAATAGCAGATACATTACATTTGAACAACACAATAAAGTAGAAAAAAATGTCTACATTTTAATGAGAATATCTGGTCTACTCATTCTCTGGGGCAAAATTATGAGCATTTCAAGTAAATACAGAGACATTTTCAGGTTCTAGTGGTCACATAGCTAGGGACTTGACCAAGGGGCTAGGTCGACAAAGCGAGCCATACAACATCTAAAGCCAGTGGGTCCACGGGACAGGACAGATCAAGACTTATGACAACTACTGAATTCTTTTTCTCTCTTTAAAATTGAGATGAGTGTCTCTGAGGCTCCTTTGCATGTGGAAGGTGCTTGCTGTCTCCCCGGGTGGCCGCAGCATGGGGAAATCACTTTCGAGGACTATCGGATGAAATACCGGGACAACACCCCTGCTGTTCTTGATGGCATCAACTTAACGATCCACGGTCAAGAAGTGGTGGGCATCGTTGGAAGGACAGGCTCTGGTAAGCTTAGTGGCCTTTGGGTGCCTGATTTATGGCAGGGTATGTGTTCTTGAGAGATGTTTACAGTGTTCTCATTCTGTGCTGGGTCTGAAGCTAGTGTGGGGACCAAAATCCTCTTGCCATGGAATTCCAGTGGGAGAGATAGATGTTTTTTTTTTACGTTCAAGGAATCTTTATTTTTTTTTATTATGATTAAATTTTATTAGTTTCAATGAACATTCACAGGGATTCTGGGCTTTCACTCCTTCATTGCC